GAAACTCATCAATTAACCTGTGGCCAGCAGAACTCCAAACACACATGTTCTTAGGTTACAAAAAGGAATAATAAATTCATTTTATAGAACACAGAACAGCAAGGGCATATTCTGCTGGAATTTTTTAATTGCAGCTAGTATCAGCAGATGATACAGTAGGTACTAGATATCTGTCTTTAAGCTGACCTCAGAGTCAGAAGCTGTACCCAAGCCTTAACTCCTTGTTATATAGCCCTTTAGGTAAGTGTGCAGTCTGGAACCATACCATGAAAGCTGGGCAGGATCACCAGCCCTGCCCCTGTCACTGGCCATTTTAGACACTGCTGCTCCTTGCATACATTCAAGGCTGCTCCAAGAATGCTGAAGTTCTTCTTCCTTGCATGCCTACAACACTAATAGATTCATTTATTTATCACTTTATTCAGTTATATAATCAGCACATAAAATTTCAGGACTTAAAATCACATGAAATCATGCTGGATTCTACAATGCCCAGAAAAACTACAAAGCTAGAAGGCATTTCCTGACATCCAAGAGGTGAAATAAAGCTACACCTCTCAAGGAAACTTTAAAAGGTCACTGCAAGTCACGATGAGAGGCTTAGCAGCTGATCACAGGAATCACAAGGGAAAAACTCATCCCTCTGCAAAAATGTACTCTACATTTTCTCATCCAACCAACCATGTTTGCCTTCCTCATGTATTGTCATGGGTCCCTTTCAGTGAAGAAAAATCTCAAAATGAAGATGCAGCATTTTGCTTTTTTTCCTCAGTTTCGACACATCTCTCCTTGCCAGCTTTGCAGTCACAGAATTGCAATACTACTAGGGCAAATATCCACTGTCACGCATGCAGTATTACTGCTCATGTGGATTTCTTCCCAGCAGCTGGGAGGAAATGTTCCTTCTTGTTTAGACAAAAATATCAAGTGCTTAGGAAATAAGGAGTTAGGAAAAGCTGTAGACAAGGTTCATGCTTGAGAAACACAAGGGCACAGAAGACTTAGCCACTGAGAAAATTCCACTGGACATTAAGTTACAACAATTTAGCTCTGCTCATTTATGGTAAGTCAGCCATTTTACTGTTGACCTACTTTGTATCAGCAATAATTTGTCATAGTGCATTCTCCAACAGCTACTGAAAGAAAGGTTGAAACCATACATTAGAGCACAGTGTCAAAGCAACTGACATTAATTATACCCTGCAATTCCTATGTTGATGAAATTGTCACTGCTAACCATTAATACAGCATTTACTGTTTAAGCCCAGCTTGCTCTACCAACCCTTGAAAGCCACTGAATTAACATCCTGCTTCACAATGTTCACATTGGAATGTAAATCTGAAACATGTAAAAATAACCTCTGCTATTACACCAAGAAAGTGTAAATATACATTCCTTTTCTGGAGAGCTATTTATCTCCAGTCTATAGATGTTTCACTCTTTAAACTAAAAACAGCTTTAATGTTCTTCAGTTGAGTGGCAGCTTTTGCCAATATAAACTATTTTCCCTAAAAAATATGGCATCAAGTAGAGGAAATTTTGGAAAATGTAGAGTAAACGTAGAGTGCTACTTGATTTATAGAAACTCAGAAGTAAGCTTTACATAAATACACAAAAAAAAAAAAGAAAAGCAGCAATGTTCTTAATTTTATTCATTGCTAACCTGTACAATAACAAGAGATCATATTCTCCCAGCATAAGCAAGGTTAATTAAAAGGACATCTTATGCATACTGTTCATGTTCAGTGACATCTGCTTAATTTGGTGACAGAAATGTTTACAAGCATCAGCATGAACCAACCACTCCAGGAGCATTAACTGGATTCTTTATGGTTTGCACATCAGTAAACTGTTTTGTAAGGTCCTACTATTGCAGCACAGTTCCCCCTGTTTCTAAATCATCTCCCAAGCTACTCTTTTACCCATACAAATGGAAGGCAGTCAAGAGCATATGGGCTGAAAAATATTTAGCCTTCAGAATTGTCATCACTAGCTATGACACAAGACAGCACAACTTCATCTTCTGATCCAAGAAGACTCTTTTTGGCAACAAATAGGAAAGACTTTTGTCCTATGAACTGATTCAATATGAGATACCACAAATTAGAAGCTGGTGCTGGCATTTTCACATCAGAGGAGTGCCTTACATAGGTTACTTCCAAATTCTCATGAAGAATGATAGAGCAAACTAATAATAAGAAAATCCCATGTCACGATGAGTCCCGTCATACAGATCTACGGGAAAATCTTTGCAGAGTCAGCAGAAAAATAGAAAACTAAATTCAGCATTATTAGTAATTGATTGAAAGCAAGCCCTCACATCTCTAATCAGACCTAAGAATGACCGGAAGATCTACAGGAAGAAAATTATCATGGTCCACATAACTGCTTAACCAAGATGTACATCTCCAGAATAAGCAGGAAAATACACAACTGCAAAAAAGAACAGAAGGATAGAAATTCTTACAGGATATGTAAAATACAATTCGGTACAGGAGCATCATTATTACCAAACTTGAAATACAAAAGTAAACTTGAGAGCATAGGATGATACCATGCATAGAACATACTGTGAGAAAAATAAATGTTTGCTCACCTGGCATAAACTAGAAGGCAATTGTACTTTATAAAGACATTCACTGAATGGTGAACAACTCTTAGTAGACCGGTCCAACAGTCTAAGGAGAGCAGTAACATTAAAGTTGCATACAGCTGAGCCTGCCCTCAGACCAACAGGATTATTCAGTGCTTCATAAGGAAAGTCCAGCTAATTTAACTAACATGCACTGGGCAAGCAGGTCTTGAATGTGCTCTCTCATCTCTAATATTTGCATTAAAAGCCTTGCTAGTTTCATAATTGCCCCTTAAACAAAATTCAAAAGTGGCAAGTGTTTTAGCTTAGTGCTCTGTTTGTACTACCTACACCAAAACACAGGATTGGCAACAGCTTCCTCCTACAAACATACTCCATTTCTCTCAGGAGTCCTTCCTATGCCCTGCTGCCACAGTATGCTAAGTACTTTCAAAATCAAACAAGGGCACATTGTGTGCACATTGGGGTATATTTAAATTCCAGCTGGAAGAAATCCCAACAACTCCGAGGACACAGGTTGTACCAATTACTAGTTACAGCTGCAGCTGAAAATTATGCCATGAATGAAAAAGCACCCTACCGTAAAAGGACTAAAATGTTAACCATCTAAGGATGCAGGCTCATTCTTGGTTCAGTGTCAATACCAGCCTCGCAGATGGAATACTTGCTGCCTTGCAAAGCTGTGCTTATCAAAAGAAAGTTCTGACAGCTAATGCTTTCATAATGTGCATAGATCATGTCAAAGACCAACTACACAGCTACCCTTTCTGATGGTGTTCTTTCTGTGCAGCAGCAAAGACTATAAGCAGCACCACAATATACCAAGCACAGCTAAGTCAGCAGCAAGCTTCATGAAAGTTTAATATAGCTTTACAGGAAGCCAAGCTCAATGTTTTTCTTTCTATTTGGATACACTTATGCTGTTTGCGGACATGTAATGCAACAGAAATGCCTTTGAGTACTCCTACAGCTTGAATAAATCTCTTCCTTACACTTAAGTTGAAAGCATCATCTTAAAAGTAGCAGAATTTTTAAGCTATCAGGACGTGCATCTACACTCTGAATCTATGTATGAGTAACATCAATACTTTACAGCAAGCTCATTCTGAGGCTTCTGAAGATCTGTTTTTGCCAGATCCAGATACTGAGACAGCTCTTTAAAGTTCACTGCTTCAGGAACACTTACGCTTCCACCAGTCTACGCCACAAAGTTATAGTACAGGAGAAGCCCCAGCAATGCTTTACAGTGCTGAATGTTGACATACATTCATGGCAAAAAAAAAACACCTGTAAAGCTAAGCTTTTAAAAAAACAGTGGGGAAAATATTAGTACAAAAAGCTCCACTGTTCAGTCTTATGTTTTTGCTTATCTATAGTCAGTTGTATTACAGAGCAGAAGACAAAGATTGAACTAGATATGACATTAGGATTGCCACATTGTAAAGGCTCATATTTGAGTAGCAGCTGCCACAATGCATGGCAAGTCTAAAGCTCAGTTCTGTTCAAGCTATTAAACAGCTGGCAAGTAATGATTATTCTTCCTTCAGAGAAAAAGTAGCATTTCTCCTAACTGAAGTGACTAAGTTGGATAGGCCTTTTATTAAATACTCACAAAACAAAGCACACAGGAGATAAGGAACAGAAAGTTCTTGAGCTTTACTCCGGCACTTCAGCAAGCATAAATAAAGTGGTAAGGAATTCCTCTCAAGTGTAACTAACCACTATGCTGTATACAAATGACAGTGTGGTGCTTAAGTGAATCACATCTCCACATCATTCATTAACTTTGAACACAAATTTAAGCATGGGCCTCAACCAACCTTTTAAGTTTGGGAAAAAAGATCTACATACCTTTTGTTGAATCCCATCTTAATGATTTCTAAAGTGAAAGTCTTGCAACTGAAGAAAGCAAAAGGCGAGCAACCTTTCTGTAGAGTGGTTAACCTGCTCTTAAGGCTAAGGGACACTTGCCCCAGAAACTCTTATTGAGCAGGGAATCCATCAGGGAAGAACTGAGAACTCGTGAGCAAGTAGGTCAAAATGGACATTTAGGTTTTCTATATCCTTCATCAGGAAGCCAAGTAAACTTTAATCCTCTGGATTTATTCAAGTCATCTTTGGCGGATGTTATTTCTGTACCTTTTCCTTATATCCTGGAATTATTGGCCCTGGAGTTATTTCCACATTGACTGATTTTAAAAGATTTAAAGTGACATGTACATCATTGTGTTTCCCTAAGCTTCTCAAGCATTTATATATGAGGTCTTCATTAATCCATGTCTGTACCAAGTGTCCCTTAGCATCAGGGTGCCATTGACGTTCTTAAGCCTTTATAGTACTTGTTTTGTTTCTACTGTGAGACAAAAATAGTTTAACTGATCCTATGTAATCACGACAGGAGATTAATTAAAATGCCAAGATAGGAAACAATTTATTATAGAGAGAAGAAAAATTTCTCATCCAAAATATAGAAATCTGTACAACTTTGCCACAATCAATATACATGAACTGTACAAATTTACACCAGTTCATAATTTACCAAATAAAAGATGACTAACAAAGTTCACAAAATAGATGGTGGTTTGTGGAAAAGACTTTTACCCAATTAAGAACAAGGAAATTACAAACCAGACCTCCACTTTCTAAAAATAAGAAGTTTACTCAGTCTTAGAAAACTACAAGCTAGCAAATGTACAGATAGCTGGCTGGTGCTATCACCACAGTTCAGACAGTGTCTTTATAAGGTCTTTTTAAAGCCTGTTGCCATGGCAGATTCTGATCACTTGCTACTTTTGAGTCCAATGTAAAGATCTGACCATTTCCCCAGGTCATACTTACTAGTTTATCTTATGTACATTTATACATATTTGTAAGTGCTAGGTAAAAGTCTGAAAAATAAAATTTCCAGTACTATGGTGTTCATAATAGTAAGTCTTGTTACTGAGCTGCCAAAAATGCTAACAATTAGTAAATGTAATAGTGCAAATTTACTCTGCAAGACCTACTGCAGAGAATCACTTTATAAATACAGATTGGGGTTGAAAATTGGTGTAGAAATTAAAGTAAGATGTCTTGGAGAAACTGACCCTTCCTAGATCTTCTTCACTCCCTAGCAAGTTTCAATCATTTTGACTCACAGGCTATTAAATCACTGAAAGGTACTGTCCAAACTATGGCACTGTCACTTTAAAGTATACCACTCTAATGTGTGCCAGATCTTCACAGCTGTGACATGGTTTAAATTCCATAATCCATCCCCAGAGGTGCCCACCCAAAGTAAAAACCAAATTTATCCATCCATTTTAAGGTGATCCATCCACAGACTATATCTTAACCTGATACAGTCATCATATTGTAGCTTTTGGAAGGGCTAGTTCTGCCCAAGAGAAGTTCCTCCTTACAGCTTATTCTGCTGTCTACCATTTGCATGTTGGTGTTATTTTGGCTACCTCCTGCTGGTGCAGCTTCATACAGCACACAGATGGAGCCATCCTCTCCAATACGATAGGACACTTCATACGGGTCAACCCATAGAGTGAGTTCGCTGGGAAGAAGCTGGAACAGTTCCTGACTGCTCAATCCAATCCGCTGTGCTGCCTGTCCAATGAGAGGATCCATTTTATGGTTGATCCGGATACATCGGTAACCTGATCCCTTGCATGGTTTTTCTGGGAACCAGTGGTGTTTATAATGTTCTATAAAAAAAATAAAAAAAATTATCCTCCTTAAATCCCTGTTCAAAAAGACATACAGTGTTCATTGTTCGCTGTCAACTTTCACCCCTCGAGATGTTGGGAAAGCTGATTGTTTTAGCATTGAGTGACCTGAAAAATCATTATACCCTTTATTCTTGCTGATGATTTGCGTAACTGCAACACCCCCTGGGAAACACTTGTGTACAAAGTTACCATTTCATGCTCCTATACACAGAGAACAACATTTGCCATCTAAAGGGAACAAAATGCAACTTCCTGGCATTCACAGAAACAAACTAGAATACAGAAGTGATCGCACACACAGCAGAAAAACTCAAGGGCTTCAAAACTTCAGAACCAGTAAGTGAAAAAGCACCTTTCCAGCCTCCTCTCGAGATCACACCCATGCTTAGATCCTCACACTCTAAGAACACCCAAAAATAAACACGGAAGGAGCTGGGCAGCGTTCACCGACTGACTCAAGCCGTATTTCACCACTGCTCTCTCCAGACTGTTTTCCAGGGCGAGACAGCAATGACTTCACTTACCTTAGGAGTGTTATCCCACCCAAAGCCCTCTTGGTCTGAGGTTACTTACAGGCACTATCAAGCGCACTGGGACACAGGCTCGGGATTACAAAACCCACAGGGCAGCGAAGAAACCCTCGGTATTTGATCCTAACCAGGGCTGTCAGGTGGCTACAAGATTTTCCAGAAGAAAGGGGAACTGAGACTCATAGTCCACCGATTAGTTTTACTGACACACAAAAGAAATAGCAACGTCGGAGCATTTTTCCTTGTGTAAACTGGGCGGCTTGAGCCCTTGGAACGGAGCCCATGTCCGGGCTGCTCGGAACGCTTTGTCTAAGGAGCCAAGGGGGGGGCTGCCGAGCCCCTTTTGTTTACAGCCCGCTCCTGCCGCCCCCACCCGAGGAAGCCGCCTCGGAACCGACGGGGGATCCCTGTAAGAGGGGAGCCACTGTCACGGAGCCCCGCTCAGCCCCGGCCCCTCTTCCCCTTCCGCCCACCCCAGCCACCCGCTGGGCACGGCGCTGCTTCGACCGGAGCTGCCGCCCGCACCCCGCCGTCCCGGGCGGGCGGCTCTACGGCGGACGGGAGTAGTGCGGCTCCCTCCGCTCCGCACCGCCTCACCTGCCAGCAGCTCCTGCAGGCTCTGGCTGAAGGTCTGCAGCTGCCGCTCGTTCATCAGCCCCTTGGTCCGCAAGAACTTGGAGATGAAGCCCACGGCCGCGGCGATCTCACGTATCATGCTGGCCCGGGTGTACAGGGCGGGATGCATGGAGGCGGCGACGGGCGGCAGCCAGCTCTCCGGGACGGCCGGCGCTGGGAAGGGACGGGGCGCGGGGCGAGCGGCACGGAGCAGGACGGGACGGGGACGGCACGGCTCTAACTGGGAAAGGTGCGGACGGCGGAGCCGAGCTCACATCCCGGGGGCGGCAGCCTCCGCCTCCTCTTCCTTCGGCAGGGGGGCGGCGGCGGCGGCGGCGGCGGCAGCAGCAGCGGCGGCCGCAGCAGCGCTCCCCGCATTTCCTGCTGCGAGAGGCGAAGGGAGCTGCCGCCTGCACGCCGCTTCTTATAGACCCCGACAGACGGAAGTAGCGTCAGGGCGCCGGGGGCGCGCCGCCGCCAATACGGCGATCGCACCATTGTGACGGCAGGCGGCGGGGCGGGGACGGCGAGCGGAGAGGGGGGGGGGGGAGAGGGTGGTGGTGGTGACGTAATCGATTGTAAACAAATAGAGCCGGTGCTGCGCGGAGGGGTTGTGTGTCGCGCAAGTGCCTCCGCGTGCGCGGAGCTTGACCGCGCCAGCACTGCGGGGTCTGCTGTCAGGGCAGCGGTGGGGGTACCGCTTGTGCCGTGTGTTCCTGCGCGAGTCCCGCCCGAGGAGTGAGAGCGGCGCCTATAATCCGCGCACCGGCGGGGCGAGAGAGATTAGGGGTGCGCTGCGCGGAGCTGATGAGCGGCACCGCCGCGCTGAGGCAGCGATGCCTGCCTGCGCGGGTGCGCAACCGGGGGCGACTGCCACGTTAGGGCGGCGCGGCGCGGGGACGGAGCGGCGGCCGTGCGCTGTATCCGGGGAGAGCTGAGCCACGTCAGCGGCGGGCGGGTAGCAGGAGCGCGCAGGCGGTTGAACTTCTTTCACTGCCCTGGCGCTGCGCCTGGCCCCGCGCAGGCGGCGGGCGGTGCGTGTGTGCGGTGGACGTGCGCATACCTGCCTGCCCGCCTGCCCGCCCGCCCAGTGGAACCAGCGGCGGCGGCGGCGGTGCGCGAGGATGTGTTTGTTTACCCCCTCAGCCTTCGGGGGTGACGCGGCTTTCTCCCTTTCCCCGCAGTGCCCCCGTGGGACCGCTCCTGCATCCAGCACGCCGGGGGGGGAGGGCCGAGCGTGGCTGTGTCCTCACGTTTGTTCACCATGGGCGCAAGACCACGGTGACATGAGGGGCTCCAGGCAGGGTCCCTTGCGCTCAGCGAAAGCCCCGCCTCTGGGCACTGGTGGGCCATCACGCCCCGTGGCAAACATGACGAAGGCCACGCCGGCCGGCAGGGGAATGAGCTTCCCCCAGGCCACCGACCAAGCCTCTGCCCAGGTTCTCTTAGGACACCCCAAAAATACACAACTTCCAGTCTTCCATGCACGTCTTGCACACTGCTCAACGGCATAGTCTCCCTCGGGACTACACAATTACCCGTTTTGGCGATCACTTACCTGGAAAAGGGAAAAGCCCTGGGTAGGCGGGAGGGCTGATGTATGTTGCTGAACTAGCCGTGGCCAGTAAGAGTGTAAAATCTAAAGCCTCCCAATGCCGGGTGTCTCTTTTTGCAAAACCAGAGGGGCGATAAAAGAAGCAGGAGAAGTGTTTTTATTCTTTATTCTAATTTTTTGTTGTTGAAAACACAAAGTGTAGCTTCTTTGATAGAAAACTCCCTCTTCCACTAGGGTATATGCCCTGCCCTGTGCAAAGCTGCAAATGAAATACAGATACTTACATGTGCAGTTCTTCCAGTCAAAGATCAGAAATCAGATCATTAAAGGCAATAATAGCACACAATTAAATCTTAAGATTTCTTCTTTAGTAATGCTATAATGAAATATATAAAAATACACGTGTGAAATAATTTGAATGAAAGATGATAGTACACCATTTTTTGCTTCTTGGTGTTGGAGCTTACCTGGAGTTTTGGCCTTTTCACTGTACTCAGGAGCTATTTATTCTGTGTGAGACTCAGCCTCCAAGGGCTCTCTGACTGTCTATACACAGGGGAGATCTGCAAAACACCATCAAAAGATAATTCTGAGAGCTTAAACTCGCAGCTTTACAGCATACTAAAAGTGTTGCTGTGAGTTTCAGCGCATTTTGCCCCTACTAACCTCTGAATATTGCGCTAGTGATCATGAGCTGTCTGTCTGCCCTGTGAGAAGGGAGGAGCTAGTAATCTGGCTCCTCCTTTTGCTGCTCCATAGGTGCCAGCCGTCTGTACATCCTTACCGGTGTTCTGCAGAGTGTGTGAAATACATCCAGAGTTGCTATTTCTGCTCTGTTCAAAGGTTGGATTTTTTAATCTTTTTTCATTTGTTTGTTTGTTTTAAAGCGATACCATCAAAGGGTTTCCCTCAAATCTCCTGCAAAGTCAATAAATTAAAAGCTCTTTAGCAATCAAGGTAGTTCCTGTTGCTTCTGATCAGTTACAGCATCTATAAAAAGGGTCTTGTCTGTGGGAAGGATAAATGGCTGTGCAGTCTACTAGGAAGGAATGAACTACCTCGGTATTTGCCCTGTGCAGCCATCAAGCAGTTTAAGTGTAACATCGAGGGAAGGCACTGTGAGATACCTGCCAGCACGATCTCATCCCTGCCTGTGGGAGGGAACAAGGTAACAGGAGCTGCTGATGCAGAGAACTATCTTGTTTTCCCAGTCTAAGCAGGTCCACCTCCATCTCAGACCTATGGTGGGATAACAAAGGAGCTGCTGCCATTTCCTGCCTGTGAAATGCTTACAAAGATCCTCATCTGTAAAGTATGCAGGCTCTTGGCAACGATGACGATTTTGGCATACAGCTCATGGTATCAAGGAAAGTTAACCTTCCTTGAAAGGTCTTCAGTGGAGGACATCAGAGAAACTGGCCATACCTTAGCCCATTGATGGTTTGTACCTTAACCTCATGCCAGTATGTCAGTGTGTTTCTCTGATCCAGTATTTTGCTCCAGACTTTTTCAGCATCTGTACATTTGGGGATATAGGAAGTAGTAGCCAGGTCCCAGCTGTCTATCCTGCCTCTGCAGCTCCAGACACAGAGGAGGCAGTTTGCCTGGTCAGTAGTGCAAGATGCTCACTGATACCTTAACAGCAGGGTGCTGAAGAAGATAAATGTAAACATTTAACAACTGCCTTATTCAGCCCATCTGATACTTTAAATGAGGCAGAGGCCCTAGAGAGAGAAAATAAAGAAAAAAGGAGTATGCGATGATGTAATTAAAGACTTCATCATAATGAATATGCACAGAAAGGCTGAATTAAGGTTGTACTGGCAGCCCAGCTTCTGATATTTCCTAACTTTTAAGCAACACAATGCAACCTTTACAACACTTCTTTCATGTTGTTTTGGCAGGAACTTTTTCTCGCCATTGGTTTGGAGAGAGCCTAGCACTTTGTGAGTTCTGTCATAAGGGAAATAAGTAATAGAAATGCAACTACTTTTATCTGTGCCACACACACATACACACCCTGCAACTATTGCAACATGCTCTTTTTCCCAGCTTTTTCAGAAGGAAGCTACTGCGTGTTCTTTAAGTAAGTGGGACGATTCAAGACTTCAAAGGAGAAGAATTAGAATTATTTGATTTAAAAAAAAAATGTTCTGGTCTTAGAGGCTGAATTAGGATATATTTGTTTATAAAAATAAATACAGTACATGTACAGCATGTTTTGAGGGTTTTTTTCCTGTTTGGGAAATTTTTCCTGACAGAACAAAGAAATGCATGAAAGTCTGAAAGTGTTACAGGCTCTTTCTGTAGTGTCTTGTTAAAGCCTTTCAGTGTAGAAAAGTGTTAGATCTGTTCTCATCCTATTTCACTGTCAGTTCTAGCTATGGTTTTGCACTGTTCGGCATTGACCTAAAAGGACTAACAGTTCAGAAACAATTGGTATTTGTTTCCAGAAAGCTGTATATGTGCCTTAGATTGGCATAAGCTTTCTCTCACCAGTTAGATGAAGAGTACTGTTTGCAATACATAAAATACAACAACAATCCATTCTATGTATAGAGTTTAGTGTAGGCTAATGTTATTAAGATGCCACATTATTTTTGTCATTTAGCAGGCATTTGAAACTGCAAGAGGTTGCTTCTTTATTTTTTGTTTCTGCAGATGATAGCTAAGCCTGGGATGCATAAAACATGTATTAATGTTTAGCTCCCTTCAATATTTGCTCTGAATATGTAGTTACAGCTGTAGCAACATGAAGTTGCTATTCCAGGAGGCAGATGTAACCCAGAGAGTCCATAGCCATCCCTTAAGATGAAGATAGAAGCAGTTAGCCCCCATCCCTGTAAGATGAGGGCCCTTAGGTTCCTCTCAAGGGATATCCCTGAAGCTTTGAGACTAGGTTGCTATTATATTGTGTTGCCACAAGAAATGTTTGCACCCAAGCTCAGGTTCAGACCCAGGTTTAGAATTGTCTTATGGATCTAGCCCACATGTAAAGTGGCAGTCTGCAGTAGAAGCAGGGATAAGAGCTTTTATTGTAAGCTCTGATTGTAAGCCTTTCTCTCAACCCACCATTACGACATTTGAAAGTAACCGCAGTGTTGTAGCAATGACTGTTTTATCCTGAAAACTTGTGGGGGTGAAGAAGTCAGTCACGTATTCTTCCAAAATGGAGAAGTAATGCTTCTGAAAGCGTAAGATAGACTGGTATGAGTCAGAGAAAGGGCAAAAGTCTGATTTGTGACCACAGTGGGAACCCCCGTCTCCCTCACCATGCTCACTCGTACACAAACACACACGCACGCATGCACACACTCTGCAGTTATAGATTGGTCTATCAGGCAATGAATTCCTTAAACCATTTATCACACAAGTAGAGTCCTATGTAAGCAAGATGAACAAATCCCAGAGTCCCATTCTGTGGTCCAGCAATAGTTGAGCAAACATCTTTGCCACTGCAGGAAGCTTGAGGGGGGATGGAAAGACTCAGAGAGACAAGGGGGAAGCTATCAGCAAAAGTAATTTCAGGAAAACCAACTCATGACATCCTAAAATGACAAAATTCTGCTGCACTTATTCCAT